ACTTAAAATCATAGCTAAGTCAAGTAAGGCTCTTAGATCATTTAGTTCAAGGTTCACAAAGATAGTCACTTACCCAAAGGCATATGGGTAAAACCAGACCCGGGACTTGGAGCAAAGTTCTAACTTCTCCAGCAAGTACTTCTAGATTATGCTACACTGGCCCCTCTTGGTGTCACTGTGGTTTTATTTATCATCTTAACATATTTCAGACTGATCCTTTATTAAGCTATTTTCCCCCCTCTGAACATACAACTTCTTATTTCAGTATGTTAACCAACCGAAAAACAGACAGTGCATGTGGTCCTAAAGAGGGTCTTCTTGAAAATTAACCTAGAAAGTCAGGTTTCTCTTATCCTCTTTATCCATATTTTATTTAACTGAAACACTTGAATAGGGGGATAATCTTCAGTTTCTAATCATAAAAGCAACCAGGATATAAATTTGAATGTAATACTGTCTTAAGTTTACTCTGGAATTTGTACCTATTTTTCTGTTTCTCTCTCCTTTGTTTTTGGATTTTGGGAAAGGACAGCTCCCTTTAGGTGGTGAAAGAGGATGGTGGAATTGAGCCATTGAGGGCATGATAGCTGCAAACCAGTTCTAGGGCAGAAACCTTGAGGATTGATGAAATGTTTACATTATCATTATTCAGTTAGTTCTTTGTTCCATGAGCCGTTGAAATAGGAAAAAAGCCTTTCTAAATGTAGTTTTTATCTGACTGATTTATCTTGCCCTTCTTTAAATGTTTTCATTTAAATAGCAAAAGATGTTACATTATGTACTATTGTGCTGACATACTGGGGAATTTTTTTTTAACAAGACCATTTTTCATTATGAATTTGTGCTATGTGTCAGCACCTTTTTGGTTTAAAAACAAAACATACAAACTACATTTCTGATCTTGACCTTCATTTTTAGATTTGGTTTAGAATCATTCTGCACCTTTAATGAGGCTGTTCTTACTTCCTATTTCCAGAACTAAAACCAGATATAGACATACTATTCAAAACTTTGAAAACTTTTTAAACTTAGGGTTATTATTTTATGGGGATTTTCCCCTGTCCCCCTGAAATAATCTTTTATGACTACCTGACTACAGAAAAATCAATTTAAACATTTATATTTTAGAAACAGTAGCCCGCAGAGTTTCTGCCCTCAGTTGAGGTTGCTTGCACTCAGAGGCACTGTTGGCTCTGAGTCTGGCTGCTAAAGTCGTGTGCTGATAAACATCAGACTGATCATGGGGACTCCCTCAGTGTCCACTTTGGTTGAAGTCCATTATTAACGCAAGTCATCTGTAAAAAGTATCTCACCATAACATGCAATTCCCTCTCTATACTGTCTTTTATTTGGGAGATGATGTACCAAGGCATCACCATGTTTCCTTTAATATAAACATAATGAAGGAGGAAACATTCCAAAAACACCTTCATTCACTCCACATCTTTTAAAAATGGGATGAATTACAGGCTGAAGGTTTTGGCCCACTGCAGAGTTCTAGTCCTCTCACTACAAATATTCTTATAATCAAAACAGAATTTTAATCAAATGAGTCATTTTTATGGGGTAGGATTTGGGGAGGGAAAAGAAATAGTTAGTAATTAAAATGATCTTAATGTAATTTGGGGTGAAGTTGCTCAGACCACATTTAGACCTGAATAATATTTCTGCTTAATACCCACTGCTCTGTGTGTATGTGTGTATGTTTGTATATTCTGTAAAGAAGCGATGTGCTCTTTTAAAAAATAAGACACAAAAAACCCCAAACCTATATTGTCCTTGCTATCAAAATTTCATTCAGCACCCCAACTCAACCCATCCCTTTGTAAAATCTCCTGTGTTTTATAAAATTGAAAAGAAGCCCTGTTTTTTGTCTGGAAGCTGTGGATGTCAGGGTGTGTTTTGTAACTGAGGCCACGGGCAGAGACAGATCTGCCCAAGTGGCAGAGGGATGTGCACCGCACATCAAGAGCTCCCGTGGGGTACATGAAGCTGGGAAGTATCGAAGCCCAGAGTCCTCCCGCCGATGGGTTTGTGGACGGCACACAGTGACCTGTCCCCAGCAGTAATTCTTTAGGACCCTGGTCAGTTCCAGTGAAGTTTCCTTCCTGAATTAGGTGAACACATTATTAGTCTTTTTAGCCCTGTGAAGTTTAAGCCATATGCCAGGCTCCTCGGTAAATGATGTTTAAGAATGTTGTACATGATGGGTCAGGGACGGGGTCGGCTGAGATCCCACATCTGCAGCTTTCCAGGACCAGAGGGAGAACTCTGACTTGATTGTTCACTTCCCATGGAAAACAACCCTGGTTCCTATTCCCCCTCCAAAGTTACCTTAACAAGCACCATCATCTTAGAGTTTCAGCTTTTATGTCCTCTTTGAATAATGTCTCCGACATGGATTTGAGATGAAGGCGTTTATTATATATTAGAGTGCTGGACTTGGAATGAATACAGGACTCCTTCCAAATTTGAAATTCCATGATTTTGTGTCTTTATTATCTATAGGTGTGAGTTTATGTGGACCCTATAGCTCTGTATCTATTAGGAATTTAAGATATTAGGGCTCTGTCCCATTTCTAAAGATAATCTAATTTTGAGGCCCTTTTAATTTGTCTGAGGCTTGAGGATTTTTATAGACCTCTCATCCACCACAAATTCTCCTATTTTTAATTGTTCTCATGCCTTGTTTGTTGAATTACATTTGTAAGGTTAGCGATGGCAAGAGCTACTTCTAATACTGCCTTGTATCTTCCCAGTGACTAGTCCATAGTTGTGCTCAGATAGGTGTTGGGTGGCTTATACCTTCCCTAAATTCCTTTGTAGGAACAAGATTCTAGTGACTTCTTTACAGCCACAAGAAAATGTTGTGTTTTCTTAGTGTAAGATTGATAGCTGAAAACCAAGAGTCTCATTTTGAAAAAGAATGACAATTTGGAAGAAAAACCACGACCTCAATGTAATGCCACTCGTTGGTAATCTAGCTCTGACTCCCAAGACACTGTCTGCAAGAGACTATAATTTAAAACAAAGTTGATGAACCAGTTGAGTGCCTTTCTTAAAATTACTGCTGTAAAGTGGATATGTTGAAAATATCAACTGCTAATTATTGGCTCACCAACAAATGGCATTATTTGTTTTTCCTGTCTGTCATTTTAATATTATAGAATAATCACTCAAATATGAATGTCAAATGATTTGCATGTCATACAAGTTAATTCCATGAATCTTCCAAATTAATTAGGTTGAATAATATGCCAAAACAATGAGCCTCTGAATAAGTAAGTCTACTTAAACTTTAAGTATTTATTTTTATCTCAAGACTGCTCTGAGATACTTTGTCCTCAATTGTTGTGCTGCCAACAAATACCAAAAATTATGAACTGTTATTAAAAGGGCAGATAGATGTAAATGAAGGCAGAGGAGGAGGATGAAATGAACATCTGCTTTTTTCAGCTCTGACAGAAATTCATAATGAACCAAAAATAACACTCTTGTTTCAACTTGTGTTGGGTGTAGGAAATTTTCTTTTTTTCTCTTTTCAGTCTGAGTATGCTCCATTGACTTGTGTATTAAATAGTAAATTGTTTTAGAAAAAAAAATTGCAGATAAATTTATGTGTGAAAGACTGGTCGTCATAACCACATAGATGTGCTTATTCCATATCCATTTAAACAGAGGTTTAAACTCTTGATGAGATTTAATGAGGAACTGATATATATAATAACCAGAAGCTTAGATTCCTCTGTGAACATTTATTGATTCACATATTTGGGGCTGCCATTTCAGGTAGGACCACAGGAGCCACCAAGGATCATAAAAATTGGAAAATAAATATCTTTTACCCTTCCCTCTCCCTTTGTCCATTTCAGTAAGGTATTCAGTAAGTTTTTTGTAGGCTGTTTTGAACAAAAAGAAAATAAAAGTGGGAAAGCAAGAGAATAAAAACTCAAAACCGTAACTGCAAAATATTGTAAAGGACGACTTACAGAGGAGTTCTTTTGAACAGTGATGAATTGTTTCCTGATTCATGGTTGCTGATTATTTTACCTCCTCAGAAAAAGATATTTCTGATTAAAGAGGAACTGGCATAGTTAGAGTGCTTCTTTAGCAAGGCACTACAACGTCAGAATGTGTGATGCAGCCAGTCTGAAAAGGTCATTTCCTCAGATCTTAGTACGCGCGGCTCTCCTCAGTATAAATGCCGTTTCAAAGGAGGACTTTTGACCACTGTTGAGGAGAGGATGCTAGAGAAGAACAAAGTTACGCGAAAGATATTTCTTCTATTAAAGAGAACTTACAAGCTATTAAAACAACAACAACAAAAAAAACCTCATCTGAAATGAAAAAAACATAATGCGTTTGGTTTCTGGTTCCATACGCCACTGTGGAACAACCAAATAGCATTATTTTGGTTTCTGAGGTTAAAACTGTTTTATTCCCCTCAAGCACACTGTGTTTATGGTTTGAGAGGAATGAGAAATAGGAAACTAGGAACAGGCTGAAATGGTCTAATCTTGACTATCTAATTCTGCAGCATCTTATTCTCATTCTTAAACACGATTGTTTTCCCCTCTATGCTTCTAGCATAAAAAGTAATAATAAAAATAAAGGACCCTCTAGGTTATTTTAATGCTTGGTTGAGAATTTGCTTATGATCTCAGACTTAAAAGATGGTCCTCCCCTAAGGTGAAGCTTGTTGTTAAGTATGCAGGCACCATTGATATTAATATGTTCTCTATATTAAAATTTTATCATTGTTGGTTGTATTACCATTTGGCAATTCAATTCATTGAAATAAATAGATTGGTTAACATTTTACAGTTTAAGTAATTGTTTCATATGATGTATCCTCTTTAGGTTATTGGAGTGGTCAGTAAAGAATACATACCAAAGGGAACACGTTTTGGACCTCTAATAGGTGAAATCTACACCAATGATACAGTTCCCAAGAATGCCAACAGGAAATATTTTTGGCGGGTAAGTAAAGAAAATTTTTCCAGACTCATTAAGTATTAGGAAAAATGGAGCTAGAAGAGTTGGGTCACTTCCTTTTTCTACCTGTGCTGAGAAATGCTGAGGCTCACCCACAAGTGTCCGGGGTCCCCATAGACACACGGAATTCTGAGCAAATGTGATGAAATTGGTTAAATATTTGGCCCTGGAAATGCAGCCTGTAGGTGGTTAGTGATGGCGATATGGACTACATGTGAATCTTGATTTAGCAACTCATTAGAACTTTGTGATGAAAGGAAACAGTTTGCTGCTTGCTTCAAGGGTAGGTTCATTTGCATTGCTCTGCAAGGAAGTAGTAATGAGTCACCAAGCCTTAGATTTCACCCCTTCTTGATTTCTTGCTGAGTTAACTTTAATTGAATGGTAGAGTTATCACAAATGAATTATCCTGAAAGTAAATGCCATTAGGGAAGGATGGGTGGAAGATGGGGCTGGGGAATGGATGAGGACCACAGGACCAGTCCTATTTAAATGCATCTGAGCTATGAAACTACTACGTTTGACAGTATTAGGAAAAATACTCAAAATCATGTGAGATCATAAGCTTTCCTGTAACATCCAGCCAAAAGGTCTGGCCAGTACAATTTCCTTTGGAATATCAAGGTTAGAGAGGACCCCAGAGGTGAGCTAATTAGATGGAATCCTTGAGTAAAGTGTGAACAGAGAAAAGTCAGACTGCTTTCTCCTTCCCCATAGGTGTCTCTGGGATATTCAGCTTCCTCAATTAGAAAATGAAGGTATGCTTACTTAAATTTAGTAAGCATTTTAACTTACACAAAATGTACATTATTTAAATTATTTTTAAAAAGAACAGCTGCCTGGTAACAACAAAAATTGTGTTATGCTTGCTTCAGCTGGTCTTTTTGCCTGGAACACTTATATCATTTAAACAAGTATCATAAAAGACTTCTGCTAGTGAATCACTTAGAAGCTATTTCTAAGAAGCAATTTCTTTAACCCAGCAAGTTTTGTGCTTTTAGAAATCTATTTTACTATTACCCAAGCAGAGAGCAGTTATAGATTCACTAAGATTCATGTGCTCGAAATTTTTATTTAATAATTGCTCATGCTTAAAATATATTCACCACATGACTTATAATGGAGAAAACATAAGTGTATTTTTGCCTTTATTGCCCATAAATTCTTCTTGGAAGTGAGCTATATAATTCTTAGAGTCAAAGGTCTGAATTAAGATGATCCAGCATAAGTTTCATTAACGTATGGTCATTTTTAAGAAGGCGAGAAACACCTAAGAATCTCCCCTCACTGTCCCAGTTCCCTGTTTCTTTTAAAGGTTCACAGTATGTAACTGAAAGTCTTTCCTGGGTAGGATTTATTTGAATCACTCTTTCACATGCAAAGGATATTGTAGGAGATAACTTCCCACATGTTGTTAAAAGCATCCTGATTTTGCTGGCAGGAATATGAACATCTGTTGTGAGGAAAGAAAAAGTTCCATGCAAATTACACAGTCAAAGAAGAGAAGGGATGTTCAAGTTGAGAAACCAGTGACATTTCTTGTAACTGTACTATGAGTCAGCACATTTTTTATCTTCTTGATAATATATGGAAATGCAGTGAGGTGGTAGGGAACAGTGTTCATTGTATGTGTGCATTATTTCATTTTCTTGTGGGTGTGTGTATGTGTGTGTGACTTCATGCCATCAACATTTCTGAGGATACAGTAAATTGTAGTCCGTGGAAGACTGACTGGAATCAACATACCCGTAGCTTTAGAAAGCAGTTTCCGCCTGGGCGAAGAGTGCAAGAGCGATGGAACCCCATGTTCCTGGAAGTTTGCACATCAGAGTAAACAAACTTGAAAACCCCTCTTGATAGCAGAATTTACCCAGCCTTGTTCCATTTTCTCTTAACAAAACACACCGCAAAAGCTCTCACAAGCTGCTTTGATGAAGCCACATGTATTTCCCCCTTCACAATTTACAGGAAGTTACTCTTAAAAGAAAGTGATTCTGGTGTTTACTGCCTGTGTTAAAGGGCCAGAGTGCCCTTTTATTTCTGATAACATTTGAACGAAATGCAGAAACAATTTGTAGACTAATATAGTCGGTATGTGAGTAAGAATAAAGCAGTAACCTACTGTCTTGTTAGAGCAAAATTTCTGCTACAAACAGTGCCCTACAACTTGGAGACTACAAGTTTCAGGTAACCAGGTGTTGTATATGTGTAAGGAAATGTCTTAAATCTGAAGCTCTTAAGAGGCGGTACCTCCAAAAAGAGGGAGAGAGAAACTTCTGTGGAAGGATAAGGAGTTGGTAGTTTCTACTACTAAGAGTATATATTTTAGTTTTTTCCTATTCCTTTCTTAACTCTGCTTTTTGACCAAGTGGCCTGAATGCATCTGTTAAGCAGAAATAGTGTGACTCTAGGACAAGTTTCAAATTTGAATTCTTCGTTATGCGTTGCCTTTAAGAAAGGACATACTCTGTTCCTGTTCTTTTTCCAAAAGCACACGCCTGTGGCTCTGAGTGTGGTGTTTTAGTCAACCTCCTCACAGATAAGGGTGCTGTCTCCTCCCTCCTTTGGCTGGAAAGAAAAGCACAAGGCTGAACATGTTTCTCACGAGGAAAAGTGACTGCTCAGTAGACTGTCAATTCTGGCTGCTGTCCCGGTGTTCACTTTGTTATGGCAGGTGAAGTTCACCTTTGCCCCGCCCAGTGTTTCCACAAAAAGGCAAGGTTCCAAGTATTCATATGAACAAGTGTTACTGTAGGACTCGCAGGGTTGGGGGTGGAGGATGTTTGCATAGTTTAAGCCTTGGGCGGAGGTGTAGGAAATGGCAAGTACAGAGGCCGTAGAAAAAGTTGAGAGACTCAGTTTGACGTCGTCAGTCGCCTTGGTCTTCTACCCAGTGACTCAAAGCACTAAAAGTCATCGTCATCGGAACTGAAGTTAGCAGCATCGCCCGTTTGCCATTCACTGCTGTAGCCAAAGTAGTACTCTGTGGTGGTTTAATCGGTTTGAGGTAGCTCCTTAAATGAGAATCTGTGTTTCATTCTTCTGTTACTTTTCCCGAATATGAAAAGACGATAAAGCTGAAATGGAAAAGGTAACTGACAAAGTGTGCCTTACCTGTTCCCACCCCTGTTTCTGCTGATTCAAGACCAGTCTGGCTAAACTGATCTGATTCTCTCGCTGACTAGGCACTAGGGGATTAGAAAGCACACACGGGACAGGCTGTGTTCCTTCTGAGAGGTGCTAGGGAAGATTTCTGTGGCGTTGGGGCTGACTTCCTTTTACATGCCTGTCTTCTCTTTTGGACAGATCTATTCCAGAGGGGAGCTTCACCACTTCATTGATGGCTTTAATGAGGAGAAAAGCAACTGGATGCGCTATGTGAACCCAGCACACTCTGCCCGGGAGCAAAACCTGGCTGCGTGTCAGAACGGCATGAACATCTATTTCTACACCATTAAGCCCATCCCTGCCAACCAGGAACTTCTTGTGTGGTACTGTCGGGACTTTGCAGAAAGGCTTCACTACCCTTATCCCGGAGAGCTGACAATGATGAGTCTCAGTAAGTGGATTACAGAATAAAAAAATTTAAAATGCCAGTTCTGCCCCTATGAGCTAATGACATGTTGTTTAATTATATGGCTTCATTATCTGTTGGCCCAAGTAGGAGGCTTGAACTAGGGGCTAGGAAGAGGAAAAACATTTTTTTTCAATCCTTATTCTCTATTATGAAACTTGATCATAAAAACATATATACTAAGAGCTACTTTGAGTATTTAATGCAGAAAGTTACAGGAAGAAATACATGTCCACTTCTAATTTATCCAAAAGGGCATGGTTGGGAGTATAATAGGGGTTGGGCCAGACATGCTGAGTATACAAGGCATAGCCCCTCATTTGTGGTACTTTCCTGATAGTTAGAATGTGCATTAAAATATTGTAGAGATGTGCATTTTGAATATAAAGTTGTCGTGTGATATGGAACATTATGAGATTGTTGCTAGAAAAACTATGTTATAATTTCTCAAATATGACTCTAAATGAATAAAGATTTCCTATCTTAGCTTCCTTCCTTATGGTAAACTACTTATCTGATCTCCTGATCGATATTACAATAGCCACCTATCACTTTATCTTAACAGATTCTCAGTTCCTTAGGTTTAGATGCTTTTACTTTTTTATTTGGTTAAAATTGCCATTGTGACCTCTCTCTGCAAAGGGCTACTTCATTTTAGTCATTCTCAAGTGATCTCCATGAGTGATTTAAGAATTAGCATGAAATTCTAACCTCTGTTGGGACTGTGGTTATGTGTTCTTGGTTAGACTGCTCAATTTTATACCAGTTTTAAAGATTAGCTCCTTTTCATTTAAAAGTTAAAACTAAATGCTGAAATTTTTGTAACTTTTTATTTTGATTTCATTTCAAACTTCAAGGAAACGTAAGAAAAGGATAAAGAATTCCCAGTTACCCTTTACCCACATTTACTAGCTGTTGCTATGTTGTCCATTTTCTTTATCTGAAGCTAATTTGTTATAAGCCAAATTGTTTTAGTTCACATTTTCCCCATTGCGATAGTTGGAATAAATATTAATTTTAACATAAATTAGAATTTTGACTACAAATTTAGGACCAATTAATAAACCAAGTACTTATCTTAGTCATTTATAATCTAACTACATAGCCACTTGGAATTCATTCCACACTGTTCACTTTACTTGAAGCAGACTCTATCTGTAGTTCTCTAAAAAATCTGGGGCTGTAAAAGCTTCAGGACCTCGCCATTGTATCCTTTTTTATGATTTGTGTTCATGGTCCTTATATACACAGTACACCTTTGAACTTCAGGAAAAGGAATGTTCGGAAGCAAACTGGCTTCCAGTTTGAGCAAGATATGGATATCATCAGGTTGTAACCAAAGGCGGCAGTTCTTTCGTCTTTTCAGCACTCCCTGAGAGACTCTCTGTGAGACTCACTGCCATGTCCCTAGGGCCCAGCATTCCAGGAGGCACTTGATATTTTGGCATCTGTCTGTGCCAGGCCCAGTGCTAAGGGCCTGGTGGTAAAAGACACAAAGGCACAGTTACATTTTCGTGGAACTTACATTCCAGCAGGGCATCTCGTGGGAAGATGGGCTGCTCCTTTCTAACTTTGCTCAGCATAGTAAGCCCCTTCCTCTTGAGGGTCTCCTTACATTTTTTGAGTTTAATTGCTCACAGATTCAGAGAAAGTCTTTGATTTTAGTTTTTCTTTCAACAGTATGTCCATTTGAGATGACTCGCCCCAGTGACTTTGCACTAACCATGAAGAAACTTTTTCACATGCTTCCCCCACCCTGTGCCAATCACAGAAAGGTTTTAAAGGCCTGGCATTTTTATTCCCTAAGAAAACGCTTTGCACAGTATTTAAAGATTCAAGTGTTTACTCTTTGTGTTCAGAAGCAACTTTCATGTATACTATGAAATGACACCTTTGTTCCCTCAAATATCCCCTTTTATTTATGCATCATTTTTTTCTAAATGGTGGTTTATCATGTTCAAGTACCCTTTCATTGTCCAATACTCTCAGTAAAGGAGAGTTTACAATAACCAGTCACATTTAAATAAGACTCCTGCTGCCGATTGTGAAACCAGTTGTCTTAGGTGTGGCAACTGATGACTGAGACTCTGATCAGGAAAATTTCTACCATTTCATCAGGCCTAATAGGTAGATCGTGTCTCCAAATGAGTTCTGGCGGGTTTCTGTGCTCACAGCACAGTAGAGGTTTGTGCCGGAATCTCTGTGAGGGCGTAAATGGCAGTGATGGTTCAACTGGTAGAGTTTTGAGAGGAAGGGATTTGAAGCAACTGAAGTAAAGAAAAGCAAGTAGCCAGAAATCACAAAATGGCATTTTTCTAAAAACAAAACAAACCAGAAGAAGGGGAAAAAGAACTATTACTTTAAACCCTTCCCCTCCCAATTTTGGGGGTATTTTTTTTCTATCTATCTAACTAACCCATCTAGAAAACAGTTGACCAAATTATAGACTTCTAAATGTTAATCTGCTTTCTCAGTTTCAGTTGAAAACAGACTTTGTTTTGCCTACTGCAGAACTTCTAGGTTCTTTCTTGTAGTCTTGGGGTTCTTATTATAGATCGAAAATGTGAGTCGGCATAATTAAGCCATTCAGAGTGTTCATAAGCAGTTCACTCTTGAAATGACTGTGTCCGCCTACAGCCATTTAAGATTTAAGAACAAAAACAGATCTTGATTTTCTTTTTCATGCTAACTCAAGTTGCTGCTGAGATGGAGAGTCAGAAATGACACCAGCTCCACTGATCACTCAGCTGCCGAAGGATGGTTTTTGAAAATGTACCTTTACTGTATATAGACTTCATAAATTCCACATATAGAACATCTTAGGGAGACTCTGTTTCCCTCTGGATATCCTTTTACAGTAAGATGTAAATCTATTTTTCTGAAGGCATTAGAGATGTCAAACATGTATTGTGGATTTACTATAAGCCGGGCACCGTGCTAAGTATTTTGCTTAGAAAATTTTAAATAGTGACCGTATTGTTTGTTGGCCCAATCATTAGCTTTATATCAGTACAATAATCAAATTATATGAAGGTGTTTAGGAGGACTGACCTGGCTAAATGTGAGGGGTGATGCTATGGGCCGACTTAAACTTTTATGCTTACAGCTTTAGTTTGTTGAATTTTAGAACCAAGGGAGTACTGAAGTCACTGGAAAAATGATGAGACTTAGATGTAATTTGCCACATAAAAAGGGCACAAAGTTATGAGGGTAAAGTTTCTGTATTTTTATTTTATTAGGCTGGCATCTTTTTAAATAATCTTTATTAATTTGAGCCTGTGCGGATGCTTCCAAATTCTTCATAAAATTCCTTCCTGTGGTTGTGAGATGCCTCCCCTATCAGCTTCTCCAGCTAAGTTGTCTCTCTCTTCTCTACCATTTCAGCTTTAAAAAACAAAAGTGACAATTTGAACTTCCTGCCTGCTGGGCCTCACTGAAAGACTGATATTGGCCTGATAAGGAGATATTTATTTTGGTTTAGTGGCTTCAGAAATCCCTCTCCCTCAACAAGCTTTCCATCACTGCCCCCTGATCGGCATCTTCCCTGATAGTGTTGCTCCCTGTGTTTATTCTGGGCCCTCTGACTGGGAGGAGAGTCACTGATAAGGGATAGCAGGAGATAACATTCTCTCTGGGGCTCTCAACCTGGAATCGAATCCCTCAAGCCTGTCAGCCTAGAGAATGGATTTGAAGGGCTCAGTTCTGGAGTTTCACAGGGTTCATTTCTAGACCTGTCAGATAGCAAGTCTGAAGTTCTTTCTCCATTAAGTCAAGCAGGGACATTTTTTAAGGCAATGAAAGATGCTTGTGCAAAGGCTTCAGTGTGATCCCCCAGTTCTCCTCACGCCGCGGCTGGGGGCTCCATGGCCTCTGAGGGCACCTGGGACACCTGCACGCACCCACAGCTGATGCCTCCAGCCTACTGCCAGGGCAGGTGTCCTGGCTCCCGAGATTGCTCTGCGATGACCAGAGTTCAAACTAAGTGCCACATGTTTTACTTTTGGTTTCCAGGGAAGGCTGAGCAGGGAGTTTCCGGTTTTCCCTGCTCAGACCCGTGTTTTCCCACAGGCACCATTTGTTTTGTGTGTTCGGCAGGGAGGGCTGGCAGCGGCAGAGACAGTCTTCAACTGTCCTCATTGCTGCTGTTCTTAAATAGTATAGTTACCAAGTAATAATACGCCGTCTTCGGGAATAAATGCTTTCCCCTCAGCTTCCTCTGTTTTCTTTGGTGCTCTAAGTAATTGAACTGGCTCAGGAAGTACCTGTTGTGGTTTGGCAGAGGTGACTGTCACGCCTTGTGATTCCAGGGGCCGGCACTACTGGGAGCCCGGTTAGACCAGGCAGAGCCTTGGTGAAAGGCTCGTGCTGCCTGCCTGCAAATTGTGGGTCAGGGCTGGCGTCCATGTCGCTCATCTCCTTGGCATAGGCAGTTTGAACAGGGTTTCATCAAATTCGCATTAAACAAGAATCGAGGCGAAAATTGATGACTGCTTATTACTTGAAATGAGTCTTAATGTTTCACATCGTGTTTGCAGGGTGTGCTGGTTTCCTTCAGGCAAACAGTGAGCATCAGAACAGCTTTTATTAACCTCTGAGACTCCCCCACCCCAGTAATTTTCCACCCCATTTTAATGGAAGCTCTCTTGTTCCAGCTCGAACAGCACTTTTCTATCTGAAGTCTGTACTGATGGAAACAAAAATCCTCCAAACAGAGCAGCACCTTTGAGCATGTGGTGCGGAGCCTTCCGGAACGAGGGTGTGAGGGCTGGATGCTTGGCCTCCATGTTGCCAGCCGGTGCCCACGTTTTCTCAAGAAGTGCAAGCAACTTTGGCGCTTAGCTTCAGTCCTCTCTAGCCTTCTGAGTAATCGCCCTTTCTTCTTTATTTCAGCACAAACACAGAGCAACACGAAGCAACAGAGCACTGAGAAAAATGAACTTTGCCCAAAGAATGTCCCAAAGAGAGAGTACAGCGTGAAAGAAATCCTAAGATTGGACTCCAACCCCTCCAAAGGAAAGGATTTCTACTCTTCTAACATTTCACCCTTCACTTCAGAAAAGGACATGGACGACTTTAGGAAAAACGGGAGCCCCGAAATGCCCTTCTACCCTCGTGTTGTCTATCCCATCCGGGCCCCTCTGCCTGAAGACTTTTTAAAAGCTTCCCTGCCCTATGGGCTGGAGAGACCAACTTACATCACTCACTCCTCCCTCCCGTCCTCCACCACTCCCAGTCCCTCGGCAAGAAGCAGCCCTGACCAAAGCCTAAAAAGCTCCAGCCCTCACAGCAGCCCGGGGAACACGGTGTCCCCTGTGGCTCCCGGCTCACAAGAACACCGGGACGCCTACACGTACTTGAACGCGCCCTACGGCCCGGAAGGTTTGGGCTCCTACCCCGGATACCCACCCCTGCCCCACCTGCCGCCAGCTTTCATCCCCTCCTACAATGCTCACTACCCCAAGTTCCTCTTGCCCCCCTATGGCATGAATTGTAACAGCCTGGGCACAGTGGGCAACATGAATGGCATCAACAACTTCAGCCTCTTCCCGAGGCTGTGCCCTGTCTACAGTAACCTCCTCGGAGGGGGCAGCTTGCCCCACCCCATGCTCAACCCAGCTGCTCTCCCAAGTTCGCTGCCCTCGGACGGAGCCCGGAGGTTGCTGCAGCCGGAGCATCCCAGGGACGTGCTTGTCCCGGCGCCGCACAGTGCCTTTTCCCTCACCGGGGCTGCTGCCAGCATGAAGGACAAGACCTGCAGCCCCACGAGCGGGTCTCCCACAGCGGGCACAGCCGCCACGGCAGAACACGTGGTGCAGCCCAAAGCTACCTCAGCGGTGATGGCAGCCCCCAGCAGTGACGAAGCCATGAATCTCATTAAGAACAAAAGGAACATGACGGGCTACAAGACACTTCCCTACCCACTGAAGAAGCAGAATGGCAAGATAAAGTATGAATGCAACGTTTGCGCCAAGACTTTTGGCCAGCTCTCCAATCTGAAGGTAGGTCTGCTAGGATCTGTGCACGGGTGTGCTTAGCTCACTTTCCTTGGGTTATAAATTGTATTTTTATCAGTATGAGTGAGACCCAGGCTGGGAATAATAAGTGTGGCTTCTACTTTGCTTTTGCCACTATCTTGTGTTCTGTGATTTTGGATAAGTTCCTTTCCCTCTCCTGAGTTTCTTCTGAAAAAGAAACATGTGGAGTTTGAGCTAGAAGATCAGTTTCAAGTCCCTGCTAGCCTGTGATTTTTGTCCTTTTAGCTCAAGCAAAACAAAACATTCCGAAAACACTGGGGTTTATTTGTTCTGTTTAAGACTTTGTCTTGATGCTTTTCTTAAGATGTTTGCATCATAAACACCTGAGTCTTTGAGCAGAAACGTTAGGTCTCAGAGCTGACTTGAGAGCAGAGCTAATGCATGTGGCTTCTTCCCAGGTCCACCTGAGAGTGCACAGTGGAGAACGGCCGTTCAAATGTCAGACTTGCAACAAGGGCTTTACTCAGCTTGCCCACCTACAGAAACACTACCTGGTACACACGGGAGAAAAGCCACACGAATGCCAGGTGGGCAGTATTTCTGGGTAGAACTTTGGACGTATAGACAATGTCTGTGGAGTTGCCCTCCCATGTCATGTAGCCTATAGTTTAAATCATCACAAGAATTCAGCCTTGGCACGGGCTGATGGCACTGTGGCCTTCCCAGTGCTCTATATCTGCTGACAAGCAGAGATGGTGACACAGCCAGCTTCCAGTGGGTGGGAAAATGATGGGGGAAATAAACACCTCCTCCTGTGCAGCCCACATCCCTGAGGTTTGCCTAATACCACGCCTTGGATGCCACCTCACCTCCCAGGTTGCTAGGCATTGGCCTGTAAGCCTGTCCCACCCGTCGGCAACTCTTAATCTTCTGTTCTTCCTGTCTCCCTTCTCTGCCTTGTCCTTCCCCACCCTGTAGGTCTGCCACAAGCGATTCAGCAGCACCAGCAATCTTAAGACCCACCTGCGACTCCACTCCGGAGAGAAACCTTACCAATGCAAGGTGTGCCCTGCCAAGTTCACCCAGTTTGTGCACCTGAAACTGCACAAGCGTCTCCACACCCGGGAGCGGCCCCACAAGTGTACCCAGTGCCACAAGAGCTACATCCACCTCTGCAGCCTCAAGGTCCACCTGAAGGGGAACTGCCCCGTGGCCCCGGCCAACGGGCTGCCCTTGGAGGACCTGACTCGAATTAATGAAGAAATCGAGAAGTTTGACATCAGCGACAATGCTGACCGGCTCGATGATGTGGAGGACGACATCAATGTGACCTCTGTGGTGGAGAAAGAAATTCTGGCCGTGGTCAGAAAAGAGAAAGAAGAAACTGGCATGAAAGTTTCTTTGCAAAGAAACATGGGGAATGGACTCCTCTCCTCGGGGTGTAGCCTGTATGAGTCATCAGACCTGTCCCTCACGAAGCTGCCTCCCAGCCACCCACTACCTCTGGTACCTGTAAAGGTCAAACAAGAAACAGTAGAACCAATGGATCCTTAAGATTTTCAGACAACAAGTGTTTTGTTTCTTAAGTTATGACTTGGCGAGTCAGGGTGCCGGTAGCAAATTACTTGTACATAATTCCAGTTCTGCAAAGCTCTCCTGACGGCAAGTGGTTTCTCCTCACCTCTCTGGAATTAAAGAAGGAACTCCAAAGTTACTGAAATCTCAGGGCATGAACAAGGCAAAGACTATATATATATATATAAATATATACATATTATATATGCTTATTTACACCCATGTCTATATATTTGAACCTGTGTATTTTGAATATTTGTGTGGATATGTTTGCATAGCCTTCCCATTACTAAGACTATTGCCTAGCCATAATTATTTTTTCAATGATAATCCTTCATAATTTATTATACAATTTATCATTCGAAAGCAATAATTAAAAAACAGTTTACAATGACTGGAAAGATTCCTTGTAATTTGAGTATAAATTGTTGTATTTTTGTTTTGTGGCCATTCTTTGTAGATAATTTCTGCCCATCTATTGAAGTACCTAAGATTTAGTAAACAAACACGTGACTTCAGTCAACCTCTATAATAATGGTTTGAAAATGAGGTTTTGGTATTGCCAAAGTTAGACAGTTGATGTGTTAATTCATAGGATCGTATCATTTGAACAGCATTGTATGTAACTTGGGGATATGTGTGCAGAATTACCCAATAATAACTTGAGTAGAAGAAACGAGAAAGGGAATCTTGAATATTTTTGTTGATGTTTTTCACCAGCCACAATTTTACCAGAAAGGTGACAGGAAGGCTGCGCCAATCTGTCTCTCTCCAAAAGAGCAGGGTCCTCCCACCCAACCCCCAAGTCCTGTGACCATTCAGAGTGGCCACATGACTTTTGCATCCCAATGTATTATCTGAAAATGTGAAGAAGACAAAATGCCATGTTTGAGACCACTGTGTGAACCTTTTCCAAAACACAGGTGGTTTTGTATGTGTGAGGTCTGGGGGCTTGAGTCTGGATGTTGTTTTGTTGTTGGTTTTTGTTTTTTTAATGTCAAAATTGCACAAACATGGTGCTCTACCAGGAAGGATTTGAGGTAGATCAGCTCAGGCCACACTTTGAAAACAAAAATAAAAAACGGGTATTCTGGTCATCTTGGGGTAAAAGCAGGTAATGAACATTCCTATCCCCGACACATCAATTGTATTTTTTTCTGTAAAACTTGGATTTTCCTCAGTATTTGTGTTTTTACATTTTATGGTTAATTTAATTGAAGTTGAAGGGGCATTGCGAAGTTGTTTGACAACAGTTACCTCATTGAGTATGTCCAGTAGTGCAGGATATGATGTCTTATCTAATGATTTGCTACTCTAGAGGAGAAACCAAGTAAGTGTGCTCTGGAAAGATAGACTATGTGTCATTCTGTCTTTTACTCTGCTCAGCCCAAAGATTACATGTTGGCGTGTAAGGTGTAGCAAAGAATGATGTATATTTATAAATCTATTTATACCACTATACCACGTGTATATATAATATATTTATAACCACTTAAATTGTGAGCCAAGCCATGTAAAAGAACCTACTTTTCCTAAGGGCAAAAAAAAACAAAAAAACAAAAAAACCACCTTTCTGAGACTTTGCTTAATACTTGATGACTTCACAATCACACAGGTGTGCTTGGGCACTCCTCGCCTATTGTAAGAGACCCTAAAACTTTGGTGCAAAGGTGGGGACCACATGACAACCAGGGAGAAAGAGCTACATTGTTCTTTATTGTTAAGGACTAAAACAGCTTTATTTTTGTTTTGCCACATGATGATTATGTGGTCACACCCAAGTAACAGAAATAAAAATCTCATTATTAATTCCTTTACCACTGTAACTTTGCTCTCTTCCTGTCTCTCCTTCCTATTGATGCCTCATGATTCAGTCTCTGTTATAACTATATTTGACATTTTATTCATGTCAACTAATAATCACCTGCAGAAGAGAACAAATTTGAATCATCCAGGGGAACCCGAGAGCCTTACTGATCTGTTACTAGCAAGACTGACAACTATGTAGGTATCAGTGTTTGATAATCAGTCCTTAACTGTAGGTAAACCAAAGCATCCCATCGACACTGACACCAAATAGTTTTTATTTCCAACTACTCATTTGTTCTTTTTCTCCTTTTGTGCTTTCTTAGACTGTACTGGAGAGTTTTGATAAAGACTTCTTGCTTCTCTCACCATCTGTCTTTCCCTTTTTGGCCTCTTACATGTGAATGTTGAGCCCACAATCAACAGTGGTTTTATTTTTTTTTTTTTTCCTCTACTCAAAGTTAAAATTGACCAAAGTTATTGGCTTTTTACTTTGCTAGAACAACAAACTATCTTATGTTTACATACTGGTTTACATTGTTATTTATGTGCAAATTGTCAAAATGTAAATTAAATATAAATGTTCATGCTTTACCAATGCTGTCTAGTGTCTTGCGTGAAGTGCCAGGGAGCAGCATCTTGTCCATCCTGTGGGGTGCCAGACCCAATTTCCCACAGGACATCATTTGCCTCTCCCCTGACCCCACCCCTGTTGTGTGTCCAGCAGCACCAGCTACGATGCCCTGCTCTCCCCACCTCCCTCGGGGACTGTCCCTGTGAGGGATCTAACACCATTGATCTGTTGTCTCTCGTAACTGATTTTTCCTTAATTTGAACTGTGAAAGTGTTCTCTAAGAAAGGCATTTCAAGCATTAGCCAGTAAGTGGGGGAAGTGCTGATGAGCATAGAGTGGTGAGGGGGTAAGGAAGACTTGGATTAATTCCAGAAATGCCTTCCTAGCTTGTGCCAGTATGTGATGTGAGGAGACTCTGCCTATAATAGGAAGGACCCCGGGAAAGCTGAGTCCAAAAACACGGTTGCCCATGGCCGATGTCAGTTTTGCTTCAGACGCTAACACTGAGCAGGCCACAGGGAATGCCCCACGTCCCATTTTTTTTTCCCTTCACATGTTAAACTGGGAATTTAACTTGTGCATTTAAAACAAGTTTCCAGAAAGCTGTTTTACCAGAATCCAGGCAATGTTAGTGTGAAACCCATGGTGGCATGGCAATGTGGCCCCATGTGGTGAGAATGAGTCTACTTGCTTATCCATTAATGCTCTAGAAACTAACCTGTCTCCAGGGCAAAGGCACAGAGACGTTTGAGTCTCATTTGATAGACATGAGTAAGAGGTGCTTCTAGAAAAGAGACAGCATCCTCAGTGGGGGAAAGAAAAAACAAAACTAAAAGCCCTTTGCAAATGGTTTTCATGCTTCCCATTCTATCCATTACCAAGTTTATGGTTTCATGCCCATGCTAACTGCATGTTAAGAAAATAATGCTCCTCCTTACATTTGGACATGCAAAACTACCCAATGTTTTGTTTTGTTTTTAATGTTCTTTAAATTCATTTAAACATCTGTGCCAAGAATTTGAAATGCTGCCAACATGTAACTGCAGAGTTAAGAAAACCAGAACCCTATTGTCATAAACGTGCCAAATGGTGCTGATTATACTCCTAAATTCTACAGAACCACTGTGGTAATAATTTTTCAAAACAAAGCTCAATAAGGTCTAGAGTGTAACAGTTAACTACCATAAATCATAGTTCTTTACTTGGCAAATCATGTCTTTTTTCTTGAGAGCTACATATGTCGGGGACACTTGTGGGCTGGGCTGTTTAATGAAACATCACATGGGAAGATAATATTCACTAATGAGCCCAAGTCCAAGTCCACCAGGCCAAAGTCCACACTGTTGGACTGAGACTTCATGAAGCTGTTTGTAGGACAGAGGAAGACAAGGAGTCACCTTTTTCTTGTTTTTCCCTAACAAAATAAAAGCTCTGTGTAGAAATCATGCATTCAATTCCTTACTGTAAGGCAGTATACAGAATATACAGTACCAGTACATTTCTAGATATACTTTTTCCTTATGAGAAATAAAATCAATTTAAGACCCATAAGTTGGTAGAAGTGAGCTTATTACTTTGTGTGATTGTGTGTGTGTGTGTGTGTGTGTGTGTGTGTGTGTGTGTGTGTGTGTGATGCCTTCTCTAAAAGGAGAAGCTGAGAAAAGGGCAGAACAGTTAATGAAAGTAATTAGAGGCACAGGGCAGAGGATTTCTCATATACAATCAGGCCTCTAGAATAATCTGGTCTAGAAAGAAAAGTTGTACCACAAAGGGCAGCAGCTAAAAGCATTGATGAATAGGAGAAAAGTTAGGATGGGGTCATTGAACCAATCCAGAAGACACTTCTATATGCTTCAGGAGATCATAGAGTTCTTTGTCCATAATTTGTCATTTCATTATCAGCTTCTGGCCAAAAGAAATCAGATCATTACGAGCATTGGCTACCTCTTTGGAGTCCACTTCTGGGTATGCAGTGGCTAAAAGCAATGTTTCAGGACCCATGGATAAGCCTCCTTAACATCCTTTCTCAAGCTTCTGGTCCTTAGAACCCCCAAGTTCATTTGCTCAAAGTGCTGCTGATAGCTTCTCCTTAAATAAGAGACAAGGGATTTTAATCTCCATAAAGCCATAATAATGTATTCAGGCAAAAGTGCAGCAAGATTTCAAAAAGGATTTATGCAAATACATACTCTGCTCAGTTTCACAGAATACTATAACCTAACTAACCGTCTCCTAATTTGCTCTTCCTTCTAGGTCTAACAAGTAATGAACCAGAGTTAGGCATGTACACATCTCTCTTTCTCTGAATTTAAGATAGAAGGTTTTATTCAGCATAAACATGAACATAGTCATCTTGTGGTTTTCCCCTACCCCCATCAAGAAAGAAAGGAGAAGTGACAGATAAGTACCAATGGGTTATTTTGGTAAGAAATTCCTCGGTGTGTTAACAATAGGTATTCTTCTCATGGAATTGTGCAAAACTCCACAACTTTAGACGTTTTAAGGACTCACCTCTGGGTACCGGCAACCAGCTGTTCTCTGTTGCAGGTGAGGAGTAGAGCGAAGGGAATGAAATGAACCCATAGTAAGGGGGACTTGGATTTAAATCACCAAGACTAATGCCTACCTGGACCATTTGTAACACAAAAGATTCCTTCCCCTGGGGGGAGAGGCGTCTCCTTCGTTATGGGGTTAAAGAGGAGTCAATTTGTTTGAAAGCACAGGATGAACAAGATCCTTTGGCCAGCCCTTCTTAGGTCTGCAATTGGCGATCATGTACCTGGGACAAGATAGATACAAAGCTTTGGTAGAGAACTCAAGTTTCTTGAATGTTCCTGAGGCCTCCTAGGAAATGCTATATATGTGTATAAACACATCTGGAGAGCCTTTCTAATTCTGTGGAAGAGTCTATGATACCATGAAATGAACTATGCTATTTGTAAAATATTTTAAAAGCCATTCCATATTTGAGTTCCCTGAGATTCTGAAAAGGGATGGTGAAAGAGACATGGTACCACTCTCACTCAGCATTGCACTTGGCACTCTGAGAAACTTGCAGGCCAGTAGCCTTTCAGTGCAGTGTTTATTGGAAAAGAGAAAGGACCTCCTCTGCCTTCTCTCCGGCCATCAGCACTACTTCCCTTGAGTGCTATTTCCCATCCGCACAGGCACAGGAAGTGAGTCACACCCTCGTCCCCTTCCATGTAACCCTTTCTTGCCTCTCTGGATTTGGTACAGGTAACCTGATAGTGATTTGCTGTGAGACAAACCTACTAAGGGTCATCGACGGGGCCACTTACTCCTTCTTCCAAAGCAATCAGGGCCAGAGTCTAAAAAATACACTCAAGGTGGGAACTGAGATACAAGCTTCTACCCTCACGGAAAAAGCAGTGAACCAGGAGTTTAGAGGCTTGGTTCTCATCCTGGTTCAGCCCTTTGTTAACTGTGTGCTCTCAAGAAAGTTCTGGAACCTTTCTGGGCCTCAGTTTCCTGATCCTTAAAATGGAGGGAAAATTCCTAGATTATCTTCCTGCCCTTTTGGAAGTATTACATCCCTTAATATGCCAAGAGTCCATCGTTTTCTCTTATTTCCTTTTGGTTTGTTTTCCTTGGAACTGTGATTGTTGCTATAGGCAGATATTTGTAATTTGGAGAGCAGATGTCAGAGAAAATGGGAGCAAGCCGGTATGGAAACAACTGTTGTGGCTTCTTCTGGCGAAAGAGAGTGGCCTCACAAAGGTCTCGCTAATTTGTGAGAACCATGAACTTTCCTCAGGAATTAATATGCTCATCTGAAAGGAATCAAGATTCTCTTAATGGAAATAATGGGTTGTGCTTAAATCAAACCTCTGCTTGACTTAAGCACCATGAATTCTAGTATGTTTAGTTTAGTGGGTTTTTGTTTTTTCTTCTTCGTCTTTTTTTTTCTTTTTCTTTTTTTTTAAGCAAAGGCCTACTTGTAAGATGACTGAGAAAGATTCAAGTTTATTGCCACAAAAAGGAAAGGGGACGACAATACCGGCAGCTAAAGAAGAGAATGAGAACCCAACAAAGAGAACCTCAGAAGACGTTGAAAGGAAACATTTCAGTTAGCAAAGCCATCAAGGCCCCCGATACTGTTTTAACGGTTCAAAGTTTTAAAAAGGGAATAAAGAAAAATTAAACCGAGAAAGGGAGGAGGAGAGAGGGAAAAGTTAAGCCAAGACAGAAACTGTGAGTAGATGTGAAAGGGGTTGAAAATAAGTGAAAAGTGAAAAATTGCTTTATGAATAAACCGTTAAAAAATAGTGAGTGAAAAAGCAATTGTGCTTCCAGTTATTACTGAATCACAAGCTCGTGGAAGCCAGAGGCTGACCCCAGCAGCGATTCCACACCTAACCTACATCGCAGCAGTTGGTGCGCGGCAGTTCCTGTGGGCGGACACCGTTTTCTACTTGAGTGTTCAGTTTCACTGTGATCACCCCCGGCTCAGAGGCCTGTGGGCCATTTTACCGCCCAGAACACAAAAAACATGCCTTGGTCGTCTCCCCAACCTGCTGACACTACAAGGCAGGTGGTAGCCTCCGGAGGACACGCCACACAGACCGACCGAGGGGTGGGGGCGCGGACGAGGCGGGGAGACCTTCTGGGAGAAAGAGTAGCCGCCGCCTGCCTCTGCCTTCTTCTGAAAACTCAGTGCTCCTTGTCGTTCCTGGTGACATGGCGGCCCTCGGAAAAGTCTCTTCTGAGCTAAGAGCCGACAGATCACCCGGGAACACATCTGGGCTTGGGCGTAGCACCTGAGATGCCAGTCATAGCTGCCCTCCCTCCACCCCTTTGCGTGCTTGAGGAAGTATGGGGAGCAGCGGGAAGTGGACTGGTTGGACCAGTGTCACCCTGCCCTCCCCGCGCCTCCAGGAAGAGGATGTGAGTGGAAGCGCTCAGGCAGCCTCCAGAAGACAGGCCAAACTCCACGCACGGTGGCTGGTAGCCAGGGCTACAGGCCATTTCCGAAGCTGCAGGCTTGCTTTCCTCATTCCCAGTTC